GTAGACAATTTGTCTAAACAAAAGTAAAAGTTGTTCAGGTTCCCTTATTCTTTTTAATATTTCAACTTATTTATTTTTATTTTATAATTTCAAAGTAGAGAATAAGTAATTTGTTTAAAAGAAAATAGAAGGTCACGCCCTATCCCAATAGAAGGTCACGCCCTATCCCATGATGTTGAAGATAGATAAGCTTCGTCGTCTCCAACTCTCCCTTGTCTCCCACGGAACAAATTGGCCGTGAGTCAACTAACTAGTCCAACAACAATTATATATATCTCCTTCAATCCCAAACTATACGTCCAAATTAACTACTATTTGGTTGCATTCTAAAATCCAATCATTAATTGACAAAAGAATTGAAACGAATCCCACTAGTGAAGTCATTAAACCACTAAAATACCAATGATATAACGATGGATATAGATAGCGATGAAGATTTATAGATGAGAACGGGAGAATGCCATATAAAAATATAAAAACTCAGGTCGTATTTGTAAAGTTATACCAAACTCAAAAAGTTGGTTTGTCATCATGAAATTCTTCCTCTTCTACATTTTTTTTATGGCATAATCCTCTACTAAAGCTGGTGCCATGTAATTGGCACTAAATAATATTGGCACGTAGCACGTAGAGATTAATGAATAAAGTTAGTTGTACAATCTTAGTTGGCAACTAGTTTGACGAACCACGTGTTGTCAAGATTTTGGCCATCGATTTCAAAAATAGTTTTCTAAATGAATGGATATGATGTTTGACAAGTCATGAATTGTAAATGAAATTATAAACGAAATTGTACAAATAGCATGACTCGAGATTAATTGAACACGTAACCCTTAGCCCACACTTGGGGGCCATTGGAAGATGATTTGTTGCAAGAGCTTCCTTCACTAGGAAGTCCGACTATTCTACCACTATTTACTTATTTAACATATCTTTAGAAAAAAGAAAATCAATACAAAAAATTTTGCATGCATATATTTTGATTCCACATAAATAAATAAATAAATAAAACTCGCTGGTTTAGATTTTAAGATTAATCCTTCTTGTCATTGTTAACAAAGTTGTAGAACTCGATCAAATCACAAAAGACACTAGGATTTCGAATCCACCATTGTTAACATGTTTTGATCATCAATTATTTGTTATTCGTTAATTCTTATTTTATATTGCTCAGTAGGATATATTAATTTTATCTTCGGGGATAAATTAATCCAATTTTTAAATATAATCCTACTATATCTCTACGAAGGCGCGAATATTTAAAAATGAAAGACAAAACTAGAGCAGGGTTATGTTTTGTAGGGTTCCTAATTGCCAACCAACAAACTGAATCACAGCAATTATTAGTAATCAAACACATATTCACAAAGAACGTCAAGAATTTCTGCCACGAAGGTTCGTGTTCTCCCAATCACTGGCTACTTCCCGTATCGAAGCTCCATTTTGTTAAGGGATCAAATCTCACATCGAGTAAAGATGAAAACATAGACCAATTTATAAGGGCTTGTGTTACTTCTCCTAATAAGGTTAACCTTTTAATATGAAACACTAAGTCTTTACATGGTACGTGTGGGTTAGGGCTTCGATGCAGTAGAATATTTCAATATCATGTTACGGCTTGTACATAACATACCGTACATGATATGACTTCCTTCTACAAAAAGTTCCACACAATTGAATCTCTCACACTATTACAGAAATTACAGAAATCTCTTGATGGAAATGCACAAAGCTTTTTTGGAGAGGAGGAAAATGAGGTGTTGAATGTGAGAGAAGAACAAGTTCTTCTGTTAACCCTAACAAATGAAGAGAAAAGGCCTCTCATACACATCCAACGGATGAGATGCATTCTTACAGATCAATGGCCCACCCTCTTTTGAGTTGTTGTAAGAGAAAACACACCTTCAGCATACAAGGTGTTGTGTCACAACACATATATTATTGTTTCTTTTTCATATATATTTTTGTTCGAATATGAAACAAAATTAGAAAAAAAATAAATAAATAAATTACTGAGAAGAAAATATTACTCTTCTCGTTCTCTCTCCAAAGAGTGCATACATTCCTGAAATTCCCTGGAAAAAATATTTCGATCCTCAAAACTCTCGCAAAAACTATTTCGAATTAAGTGACCTAAAATTGAAAATATGGGCAAAAAGTGTTGCTACCTCATCTACGAATTTAAAGAGAAATATTTATTTATTTAAATTATCTTCAACGCTCATGTTCAGGTGTTCATAATTTTCCATCGAAGAAAAAGATATCAAATTGTCAATGGACATGATTCTAGCTCCGTATTCTCCATTTCTTTATATCCATACATTTCTTTTCATAGATTACCAAGAGCAATAATAACATGAAACAAGGAAAAAAGAGCAAAAAACACACATTTATAGTTAGCTCAATCTATATCTACTTGCCGCACTCAATGCAATAGTTACATCTACTTTCCACTACACGATTGCACTCTTTCCAAACACACAGACACTAAAAAAATGGAGAAAGTACAGGGAGAAGGATGAAGGAGAAAATTACAATCAGTT